GGGGCCGGCGATGGGCCTGCCCGGGCCGGCGGCGCGGAGGTGGTGAGGCGCCACGTGGCGGCTTGCGGGTGGACGGGCTGCGGCGGCGGACGCGTCCGGCCGGGGGCGGACATGTCCGTCGGTGGCGGGGATCCTCTTTTTTTTAGGGGTAGGGTTTCGGGGAGAGAGAGATCCGAAAACGAAGGGGGGTGTATTTATAGGCATAAGTGGAGCTAGGAGAGTCCAAATGAGGTGCGGTTTTCGGCAACGCGATCGTGATCGAATGCTCTAGGTGATGGAGCAGAGTTTGGTGGTTTTTGGGCCAAATTGGAGGGGGTTGGGCTGCAACACACACGAGGCCTTTTCGGTCCCTCGGTTAACCGTTGGAGTATTAAACGAAGTCCAAATGATACGAAACTTGAAAGGCGGTCTACCAGTAGTAAACCAAGGCCGCTTGGCAAATCTCGGTCCAATCCGGAAATGTTCAATCCCCACACACGAAAGAAAGTTAAAAATGACCACCGGAGGAGAACGAAGCGCCGGAATGCAAAACGGACAACGGGGAAAATGCTCGGATGCATGAGATAAACACGTATGCAAATGCAATGCACAAGATGACATGATATAAGATGCATGAAAACGAAAATAACACACGGAGACAAAGACCCGAACCCGAGAAATAAATATAACTTAACGCCGAAAACGGCAAGAATTGGATTACAAATTGGAAAAGTTATATCCGGGGTGTTACAGGAACCGAGGCCGTCGGGGGAAGACGAGGCGCCGTGTCGCTGACGCGGCTGGCCTGCGGCTTTTTCGCGCCAAAACTGCTCGCCTCGGCGCCCCCGGGCGCCCTCCAGCGCGCCGGGTTCGGCCTGGGTCCGCCGGTGCTGTTTTCGGCCCAGACCGGCGAAAATCGGGCTCCTGGAGACGCGACTGGGCCTTTTTTCGACGCCGGCGCGAAAAATCGCCTGGAAAGGTCTTCCTGGAGACGCGGCTGGAGATGCCCTAACAGTCTCCTCGTTTCATGCACGGCGTCTATCTACCATCAGACTCTTCACCGTGGCATTTGCTGGAATTGGGAGCAAAGTATGAATTGCATATGCATCACGACGGATCTATCGATTTGTGCGGCGCTTTTCAGTTGAGGCTCAGCACCACTACTGCTACAGTGTGCAGTGCACCGCCGGCTCCGTTCGCGTTCGTTGCTTGGATTAGTGGACCTCCCGGCCCGGGCGCTGCACTGGCGCGCGATGTGTGCAGTGTGTATGGGGGCATCGTGTGTGTGTGCGCGCGCGCACTGCACTACGTACAGTATGACGAGGCGCCGCTGCGCTGCGCATGCATCTACCTTTGGAGCGAGTTACCTTGGTCCACCGGACGCTCGACCCACCACACAGGGGCACAATTAACATGGGGCATGAAAATTTGTCAAAATGAAAAGCCTGGGGATGCAAGTGTCGCCCATTCAATCACTGAAACACAAACGGGAGAAGCGAGGAGCGAGTGTACCAGATGATTGCAATGATAATTCTGGACTGGTTTCCGTAAAAAGAAAAAGGGGAAAAACGACGACAACCGTAAAAAGATGACATGAAAACAAGAACAAAAATGTAAACTGATGAAAACATAAAATAAAACACATTGAAAAGGAAAAATAGAAAAAATACCATTGAAATCTAAGAAAACCAATGAAAATAATAAAGAGAACCACACAAAAAACCGTAATAAAGGAAAAAAATACAAAAAATGAAATAAAACAAAAATATCAGTGGAAGCCAAAGAAAACAATAGTTAAAACACACACAAAAGAAAAAACCCGTTAAAACCGTAAAGAAAACAATAAACAGAAAGGAACATAAAACCAGTAAAAACAGATCATTTGAACCAATAGATACAAGGAAGAAAAAAAATCATAATTCTATAGCCAGCGAGCAAGCTTCTTTTGTTCTGGCCCAGAAAACCCGTCTAAAAGGAACCTTCAAATCAAGGGATCGGACGACCATGGGTGTTTTGGATGGATATGATTTATCCATGTTGATTTTTTTTTCAAAACTTTCTGAATATAAGCGGGTTGATAAACGAGTATTCATGAGGGAAGGTGCTCAAGTTGTAAACCTAAGCATAATTTGTTTTTTTACAAAACTTTCATCTCAAACCCCGTCATTAAATGAGTGCTACAGTTATATCTATTGCGTTACCAATGATGTTGAGATCATTAACATATAATGAGATGATGCCAAATCCTTTTGAGGATTTCTTTATAAAAACGCATGGGCTATCATTATTATTCGAGTGTCCTTTATTGGGAAGGAACTCACTAAGTCGATTATACCACATTTTACGCAACAGCTTCAAGCCAGAATGAATTTTGTAATTAATACATGTTGTGATTTTATTTGAATTTGGAATTTTAAGTCCATCAAGGACTTTCATATAAATATCCGCATCGAGTAAATCGTATAGATAAGCGTTCACCACGTCCATTAACTGCATTGATAAATTCATTTGTACTGCCAAAGATATTATATATTGAAATGTAATTCCAATAATTACAAGAGAATATGTATCGTAGTAGTTGATATTGAGTCTCTGCGTAAACCTTTGAGCTAGTAGTCTTGCTTTATATCTCATCACCTCATTCTTTTCATTTCTTTTCCGAACGAAAACCCATTTAGCCCCCACATGAAAGATTTTATAGGAGTAGGTAATACGTTACAAAATACATCTCTTTTGTTAAGCGGGTGTAGTTCTGGACGCGACGCAAAGTATGTCAAGAGGCGCAAACCGGCCTCCTCCTTATCCTCCTCCTTCAAGAAAGAAAGTTAGGGTTCGTGCCTCTCGCTGGCACCTGCGCAGGTCCGCCTCGTCTCCGGTGGCCCTAGGGCCATGGAGGCTATGGGCAAGGGCCGGCGGGAGGGCTCCGTTTTTAGTTGTTTTTTTCAATCTTGTTAGGGTTTGTGTCCTGCTCAGAAAGGCGAGATGGCGGCAGCTCCCTGAAGATGGAATAAAGGTATCCCCGCCTGGTCCCTGTTCCGGCGGTGCGTCTAGCATCGTTGGTGGGCGTGTGGAGGTGTGTCTCCGGCGGATCTATCTTTGGTGGATTTGCTCGGATCCCGTCGTTGTTCGTCTATGTTCGTGTGTCTTCGGTTTGGATCCTTCCAATCTACGTTATTCTTCATCGGCGGCGGTTGCTGTTCTGGGGTACTGGTCATATGGGGCCTTAGCACGACGACTTCCCGACTATCTACTACAACAAGTTGTGCCCGACTCCGGCGATGGAGGGGCGATGACGGCGGCGCGCCTTCGGCTCGCTTCGGCGCTTGTAGTCGTCGCTAGGTGGTCTACGAATCTGGATGTAATTTTTATTTTTGATGTTCGTTGTACTACCATGATTGAAGATAAATAGATCAGAAGTTTTCCCGCAAAAAAAGCAAGTGTAGTTCTGGCAGTATGTGTGCCTTCCTTACTCAACTTCTGTCGGCAGTTTCTCAGCCCTTTAGTACTTATGCCGGCCACGACAAGATTATGAACGTGAGTACATAGAAACTAGCTTGATCATGTGCCATACCATTAGTTTCACACAAACAATGCTAAAACTTAACCTTCCATATTCTTGTTGTTTGTATCAACATAGTTTGCAAAGGCAATGTTTGCATCTTAACAATACGGCCTAGTTGTGGAGAGAAGAGAATAAGAGAGAAAAAGAGGAGAAGTAATACTAGATCAAAGAATTAATCTTACTGCATAGGGAAAAAAAAGCTAACGGGTGAAGAATGTATCTAGTTGCTATACAGGGAGGACAAGTACTACCTCCGTTCCAAATAATCTAAGTTTTAGGTTTGTCCTAAGTCAAACTTTATTTTAAGAAATCAAGTTTATAAAATAATATATCAGCATCTACAACACCAAAATTGCTTCCTTAGATTCATTATGAAATATATTTTTCTATTATATATCTATATATTTGATATTGTAGATTTAGCACATTTTTCTATATTTTTTTATCAAACTTTAAAAGGATTGGCTTAGAAAAATCCTAGAACTTTGACTATTTTGGAACGAAGGAAGTAATACATAGCAGCAGGTGTTCTCGAGTGGGGCATTTTGGAGCTGAACCTCCATGTAGACTGAAATTTTTGTAAAATTCAAAATTCAAACTTCCTAGTTTCAAAAAGATCAGAAAAAAATTGTACAAGTAAACAAGGATCTGATGTGTATGTTTGTGAAATTTCAAGGCAAAATAGCTTGAAATGCGATTTGTGCAAAAACAACAAACTCATGCACTTTGAGCATGAATCGTGCATCTACCGAAAAGCCTCAGATTTTTTTGTGTGTAGCACCACTTTTAATGTATTTCATCCTAAAAATTTATACACTTGTGCATTATATCTCAAATTATATGTGTATTTTTTAAATGAAACGTGCAAATTTGAATTTTGGTCATTTCAAATTCGGCATCCATGGAAGCCGAGCTCCATTGAGCATTTTCAGAGTTCTAGTGGTTTGTTGGTACAGTAGCAATCAAACTTTGTTTACTTTTCATCATAGAAGAATTTACGATTGCCCTTTTCCCCTCTCGCCACTTCTTTCCAATGTCCATCCTCCAGCCGCTGCTCCTCCCCAATCTACATCCTCCGTCCGTCCCTCCTCCGCAATCTCTATCGTCCTAACATGGACATGTAAAATTTGACCATGGCTACCCGGACGCAGTTGCGCCAGGGCAGTGATGCTCGCTTGAAAGGTTTCTCCGCCGCTCAACGCACTCTCACACCGTCATCAGAGGTGTGTTCCAGGCTGCGGCTCTTAGCAAGTGTATTGATTATTTTTTTTGTATACACTTCTAATTTAATATAACAGCAATCTTTTTTTTCCCTTCTGTTCCGTTGCAACGCGCGGACATTACACGGGTAAAAGAAAAGTTGAATTCATCAAAGTACACTCAAATACCGGGCCCATATCAGGCACAGCCCAGCCCATTATTTAGCCTCGGCGCTCCTTCCTCCCAAACCCAACCCTCGCTTCTCAGAGAAAGAGGGGGAAAACCCAAACCCTTGCCGCCGTCGCCGGCGCTCTCGCTCCCTCCTCCGCTCCGCTTCTCCCGCTCCCACCGGCCGGCATCGGATCGACGAGCGCGCTGTCCCATCCGAGAGCTCACCGGTAAGGGAGCAGTGGCCTCTTCTTCGACGGCGGCCTCGAGGCCGGCCATGGCGACTAGGTCTTGCAGCGGATAGACCCCGAGGCCACCAGGTACTAGTTCAGGTACGGCCGCGCTGCATCCCTCCCGATTCGGAACTTTCCTCCGTCGCCAGCGTCGCGTTGCTAATGCCAATGCCCAATTTTGAACCGGAATAAAGCCCTTCTTTTTACTGCTTCTCTGTCAGATTACTCGCATGTGCATCCTTAGTTCGTCACTGTTCTTATTATTATCCCAGTAACGTGGCAATTCAGCTCAATATTTACTGTCCCGAAACAAGAGAAATAGCAGATGTGAAATCGTGGTACTCCACCACTCGATTAATTTGCCTGTCGTGTGTAATTTGTGCTTGTGCTGTTGCTTTTCCTTTGCTATCTTGGCCCCAAACAATTACAGTACCTTTCTAGCTTATTATGCCTACCACACCAGTGTCACTTCCAAATCCATGAATTTTATCAGTATATCTTGTGGTCTTGTGGAACAGGCCGGAGAAAGGAGCGGTGGTTTCAGGTTTGGATCTTGGTTTCGGTCTGTAGTACCAGCAGCAACCAGCAAGCAATTTAGTTCTGGTACACTTGAGTTTTGTTGGCGATGGACGGCAGTAACTCCAATAAGAGGAGAGATGAAGCTCCGAGAGAGGGAGACCGCTGGATGGACGTCAGAATACTGAAGGAGACCCTTGACTGCACAGTCTGCTTCGAGCACTTCAGGACTGAGATTTATCAGGTAGATGCACTAAGTATATGTACATATTGACCTGTTTTGAACACAAGCTTTTATTTCATTTCTTATAAAGATCAACATAAGAGAAGACCTTTGACGAATTATCATTGTACGTAACATAATAGCCATGGTAGCTGAAATAATGGAATGTGTAGCAGTAACCTATCTTCTTGATGCAGTATTCATTCTTTCTTATGTTAATAGTTATTCTCATGGGGACCCAATTAATCATTTCGTTTCCACAGTGTTCTGTTGGGCATTTCATATGCTCGTCTTGCCGCGACAAGATACTGGACAAGAAGTGCCCCACATGCTCTATCAAAACTTCCTTCAAGCGCTGCTTTGGGATGGAACATGTCGTCCAGTCGGTCGCATTTCCTTGCTCCAATGCCAAGTATGGATGCAGAGAGGGTCACGCATACTATCAGAAAGAAGGACATGAGCAGGTATGCCCGTATGGCCCATGCTTCTGCCCAGCGTCCGACTGCAGCTTCACTGGGCTGACACACGAGCTCCTGGACCATCTCACCATCTATCACATGTCTCCATGTACAGACCTCCCATATCATGGGACGGTGGCTCTCCGCTTAGAACCGGGCATACATGTTCTGGCACCCCGCAACAAGGGCAACAACCATTTTTTCATGCTCAACATGGAGCCAGAGCGTCTTGGATATGCTATCTCAGTCGTCTGCGTCCAACCTAATGCTACGGAACCCAAGTTCACATGTAGTATGAGTTATGACTGCTCTGGGACAGGTTATTGTGGAAGTGCAAGTTGCCAAATAAAAAGCTCTACACTCTCTGATGGGCTACCGACGGACTACGACTTAATTCCACCCAAGAGAAAGATTTCTGGTGATCGAAAATTTATCATGCTCAGAATCACCATTCATCAAGCTTCAAGTGTCAGCAAATCCCATGTTAAAGGAAAGGGCCTGACTTCCACTCCATTGACCCTGTTTCCTCGTCGTTCTGATGATGATGGCGATATAGTCTGCAGATCCTGTATTGAAGGAAAGTGCCCGACTTCCTCTCAAAAGCTACTGTTTCCTGATTATTCTTCTGATGACGATGATGATGTGCCTTCAAGATTCGAGCGTGCTCTCAAACGGGTGTCCCTGCTTGATTAATAGGCCGATTGATGATGTACCTTCAAGGTCCGATCGTGCTCATGTATGCTAGAGATTTAGCGTTGGTGTGTGGACGCCGTTAATAATATGCCTGGGTGGGTTTCACCATTCTGGTTCCAGGATATATGTATGACGAGAACCTGTATGATCTAAGTATCGGAGCTGTTTTGACCTTATTTATGTGTTTTGTTGTCCGGAACTCGTGCCGTGGCATGTGAGGCTGCCCTTGATGTACTAGAAAAATATTATGCTATGTCGGTACATTTGTATCGATGAACCACTAACTTGGAGTTATCCTGTTTTGTAATCTTGCACCATAACAGGGATGCCCTCTCTTTCAGTTTCTTTGTGCATTCATGAGTTCCCAATGTTGCATATATTGCATATATCGGCAATATCAATGAAATGAATTGTCTTTCTGAATCATAGGAATATTTTTATTTACTTGTGTGCACAAAAACCAAGCTAGGCATAGTGATAATACTGCCAGGCACAATACTGCCTGCTACTATATGATGGCAAAATTGTAACAGGTTACCATGTCTAGGATAAAGATCGTAAACTTTCTGAAGTCATTTAAAGTAAGTTTATAGAGAGGATAGTAATCAGATTGTGAGGTTCTGCTGAAAGTCACAATCGCTTCAAGTTTGTATGATGTGGCAATGTTGAAACTTAAAAAGCTCAAATACTACCTGATTAGGAGTTTTGAAACTAATTGCATTCCCTGAAATTGCAAAAAGAAAAATGAATGTGAAATGAAGCAATTGTTTTTCTTTTTGCAATTAGGGATGGGAGAGTTGCTGGAACGTGGGGCCTGTGGGTTGACTTACACTGTGCTAAAAAAGGCTTGCGCGTCACCTTGTGCGGCCATACCATCTCTAACAAACGGGTCCTGCCAGTCAGGAACTCTATCAAAGTCCCATTAAGGGGTCACTAGTGCTATTTGAAACAAAACTGTTTGGAGATTTTGTGTGTTTGTTTGCAAAAATGATGGCTATGTTTAAACGTTGTACTAAATGTCGTGCCCTTTTTGTAATTTAGTTGAACAGACTTGTTCTCAAGTTGTCTTTATTAAACATCTGGCATCTTTTCTGTTTGTGGATAAATATCTTATAAACTAGTAATCCGTTGAAAGGTGCAATTGCTTCAAACATATTCTTCTGTGGGGATCTGATAAAATTATTATCAAATAAATACAAGTCAACCTTTACTAGACCATTCCTCTCCAAACCCTAGGAGAGGCGATCTCTGGTCACATAGCATTACCATCTCCCCTCCACCGGTAGGTCGCCGCCCCCTTCTCCTTCATGGGCTAAGCCATGGGTGACGGTTTCTCCTCCAAGGTGTTTGTTCGGTAGGATAGTTGCTTCAATAGCTTTCCCTCCATGGACAACGGTGATAGGCTGGTTCCGGGTGATGAAGCGGCATCCAATGGCACGCCATCAGCATGCTCGAGGGGATGAAGGCGGTCGACCCTCATGGATGCAACTTTTTATTTTATAGTTATTGGAGGTGTTTGTAGTACTGGTTCAATTAATAAATCGAAATGCTTTTTGTAAAATAATAACAATTAAATCCCAAAATGTACTACTTGATTTGGAATTTAGAGACTAATCATGTTCTCTGAAGTTTTGATTTAGGGAGAGAAACCGTCATGAACTCATGATGGATGGAGAAAGAGAGAGAGAGTGTGTGTCCCAGGCCCATAAAATACAGCCCATTATCCGGCTCCTACACGTCTCGCCTGTCGCTGGCTCGCTGGCCGCTGCCAGACCCTTGCTGCCGCCGTCGCCGTCGCCGTCGCCTCCTCTTCCCCAACTCCGATCAGTCTCAGGTCGACACGCGCGGGCGGCTGGGTCCAGGTTTCTCCGGCCGCGGCTCGCTTCCACCACGGCAGCAGCAGGTAACCTGCCTCCTGCCCCCCACCCTCCCTTTTCTTTCCTCCCTCAGATCTAAGAACCGACCCATCCACCCTCTCTCTTCCATCTCCCCTCCGTCAGCCAACCTCTGTTCGTATGGAAAATGTGATGATTGATTACTCCTCTGTACTGCATACTGTGAGACTACATTGTGTAATGGAGCTTGCATGGAAAGTGTTTGTGAAAATGCCTGTATGGATTTTTTTTGTATTGAACGAGTACTTGCTGTAGATTGGATGTTGTGATGAGAATATAATGCTTGCTGCAGATTGGATGGTGCCCAGTGCAGCTTGATAGGTGGTTCTCACAAATGCTTGTAGGGGCAAATGTTTGCAAACTGTAGTTCGAATTAGTACATATGAGAAAATGTTTTTGTTCAGGTGGAGGAGCAACTGTTTTTGTTTAAGCATGTTAGCAGTGCTATGCTCCTGCGGATTGGATAGTGTTGAGAGCATGTTCAAGTTTACTAATTGTAGTTTTGAATTTTTTCAGATGAGCAAATGTTTTGGACTGCAAATTATTAGTCAAATTGTTAACATGCAGTACTAGTACCTATGTTACAGCTTTGTTATAGATAATCACAATAGTGTACCTAGTTATAGAGGCTAAATTTAAACAACAATGAGAGTGCTCAGATATTAAGAATGCCCATATGTGTGAAATTCCAGTCCTCAACCTGTTTGTTGATTAGCCTGTTTGCAAATGTTTAATTGTTTTGTTGGCTTTCTATCAGAATATCTCGTGGAACATGAGAATAGAGCAGTGAGGTTGTGTTGATCGATAGGTTTGGATCTCGGTTGCGGTTTGTGATACTAGCAGTGCACACCAAGGAAGATATTGCGGGCGCCTTGGAATTTTGTTGGCGATGGATGATAGTAGCTCTAGCAAGAGAAAGCCTGAAGCGCAGCGAGAGGGTGAGAGCAGCGCCAAGAGGCTCAATGTCACCTTGGGGCTGGAGTCCCTTGACTGCCCCATCTGCTTTGTGCCCCTCAGTCCTCCGATATTCCAGGTAAATGCACTATGTTGTTGGCTTGTCTTTGAACCCGAGCTTTTATTTCAGTTGTGATAAAGCTCAAGATAAAATTAGAGCTTTTATGGAAGCAATCTTTCTTTGGACGTAGTGCTACTTGGCAAGGACGTGTTTCTTGTGAATGTGGCATAATGGCTTAACTCAAACAATGAACTATAGATTACCTATCATGTTGTTTTATGTTCCTTGAAATTAAAATATATTTATGTTACAAGTTATCCTCATGGGGCTCCATTAATCCTTTCTATTCCACAGTGCTCCGTGGGGCATTTCATATGCGAGGATTGCTGCGCGGATCGATTGAACAACAAGTGCCACTTATGCTCTCTAGAAACTTCATTTGAGCGCTGCTTTGGGATGGAACATGTCGTCCAGTCGGTCACAGTAGGTTGCTCCAATGACAAGTATGGATGTGCAGAGAAGGTCACCTACTACAAGAAAGAAGAACACAAGAAGGCATGCACGTATGCCCCATGCTTCTGCCCAGAGTCGGGTTGTGGCTTCGCTGGACCAACAAAGGTGCTCCTGGACCATTTCACCACCCAGCACAAGTGTCCGTCGACAACCCTCCCAGACTCTGGCATGCTGTCTCTCTGCTTACAGCCGGGCTTACATGTTGTGAAGTGCACCGGGAACAACTACTTTTTCTTGCTCAGCATGGCATCAGAGCCTTACGGACATGCCATCTCAGTCGTCTGCGTCCAACCAAACATGACAGAATCCAAGTTCACATGTAATATGAGTTACGACTGCATAACGACGGGCTGTTGTGGATGTACAAGCTGCCACATAAGAAGCTCTTCACTCTCTGATGGGCTTCCGACAGTGTATGACTTGATACTTCCCAAGGGAAAGGTTTCTGATGATGCAAACGGTTCATGCTTAGAGCCAGCATTCATCATCAACCTTTAAGCCTCAGCAGATCTTGTTTTCAAGGAAATGGCCCGACTCCTGCTCTTCACCAAACGCCTGATACTTACCATGATGGTGATGAGGAGGATAATACACCTTTACGTATCAGCAGATCCCATCTTCGAAGAGAGACCACAACTCCTGCTCTTCACCAAACGCCTGATACTTACCATGATGGTGCTTGTGTATGCTAAAGGATTAGCGTGGACTTGCTGGTTGCTGTTGTTCTGCCTGGCTTTTGCAGTTCTGGTTCCAGGATATATATGTCAAGTCTTTATCTTTATTTATGGTCTCAAGTAGTATCTGCTAGACGTTGTTAAGTAAGCATTAGTGTGCAGCGTGTGGCTCTAGAGTCTGAATGCATGGATGCGATTGCAGCTTTCGGCTCGCTGATGATGCCAGCTCCTGCAATTTGTGAGGAAATCAAGCTCCCGGTGGTGCTTCTTCCAAGGGCAACCTTTCGAATGATGTTAGATTAGTAAATTTAGCCAAATGATAAGTGTCATATGTGTGGCACGAAGCTCTCGGACCTGACGTTTTTTACAACTGGTGTTGCCATCCGGAAAAAAAGACTTATCATCCGAAAAGAAAATTGCCATCCTCACGTCACTAAACTTGTCATAACAACGTTTGAAATTGTCATCTGTTCGTGCCACACATATGCCGCTTATCAGAGTCCTAAATTTAACTCTACAACTATCAAGCTTATGAACAATAAGCATAAGTCAGCCAGCTCACCATGCTGCTGGTCAGGCAACCATGGGCGGGAATGCATCAAGGCGGCCCAGAGCCCCACCCCCTCAATATGCTAAAATCAATGTTGATGCGGGCATCAGGCAGGGACGAGGAGGAACAACGGTCGTAGTATGCCACGACAATGACGGTAACTACCTGGGCAGTTCAGTTCAGCGCTTGTGGTAGCGTGGGTGGATGATCCGGCGACGATGGAGGCGATTGCATGTTGCGAGGCGCTTTGTCTTGCTGACGATCTTCATATCAATCAGTTTGTGATAGCCTCAGACTCCAAACAGGTGGTTCAATATATCGACAAAGGCACTTTAGGTCGCTATGTAGCTATCACCAGTGAGATCAAGTCTAGAGCTTCATCTTTTTTATGTAACTTTATTTTTGAAGGTTGTGTCAATAACTATGAGGCACATAGATTAGCTAGATTTTCCCATAATCTTGCTTTAGGATGGCATGTGTGGCTAGGCCAGCCCCATGATGCAACGACATGTATCCCGCAATTTGTGTGTTTTGATGAATAAAATTTGGCCTTGCCGCAAAAAAAACCTATGTGAACTTTGCAGCGATTTATTGTCCAATATGGTAAACAGTTAATTAGACTATAAGGCTATGCAATCTACCGAAAAACATCTGTGCAGTACCTCCAAACTTGAGGGCCTCTTTGATTCTCATGATTCTAAAAATGCAGCACCTCCAAACTTGAGGGCCTCTTTGATTCGCAGGATTCTAAATCACTAGTAGAAAACAGGGCTTTGATCCAGGCTGGGTCAGCCCATTAGTCCCGGTTCAGTCTAGAATCGGGACCAATGTGGGCATTGGTCCCGGTTCGTGAGCCCAGGGGGCCGGCCGGGCCACGTGGGCCATTGGTCCCGGTTCATCTGGACCTTTTGGTCCCGGTTGGTGGGATGAACCGGGACCAATGGGCCTCGCTCCTGGCCCACCACTATTGGTCCCGGTTGGTGGCTTGAACCGGGACCAAAGGCTCCCCTTTAGTCCCGGCTCATGTCACCAACCGGGACCAATGAGGTGCCTATATATACCCCTCGCTCGCGAGCAGAGCATCCCAGTGCTCTGTTTTTCTCTGGCCGAGGGGGAGAGGGCTTTGTGGTGCTCTAGCTCACCTCCTATGCACATGAGGTGTTCGATGGAATGCCCGAGCCACACTAATTAAGCTTTCTTCTCTCGAAGCTCGACCTCCAAACTCCATTTTCCCCGAGATTTGTCTAGATTTAGCGGTCCGTCACGCCCCGTCCCCGTCTTCACCGCCGTCGATCATCCGCGCCGATCTCATCACCGACACCACCGTGGTGAGCCTCTTGTTCTTATCTTCTTTCTGAAAGGAAAAATATTCTTACTTGTATGTTTAGATAGATGCTTGTATCATTTTCTTACATTTATTATTGCATCTTATATAGTGCGATGGTTTTGGTATCCGCCCCCGTCGGCCCTCGTCCTGTCTATGATTCGGATGTGGTATGTATATTATCTTTATAACTATTGGTTCATTTATTGTTTATGAAAATTATGCCGACCAACGTGACATAGATTTTATTTATCTAGGATGTATGTGAATCGGAAATGCCAACCAACCCTATTGTCGAGAGGTTAAATTTAGTTGAAGAAGAAAACTATTTTTTGAAGGAAAAAATTAAAAAAATTGAGGAGGAGAAGATGATATTGGAGTTGCATGTTGCGGATGTCGTCGATGATCACAAGATCAAGATGGATGCAATGCGCTTGAAGATTAGAAAGATTAGAAAATATGCCATTCATACCGAGGCTTGGTATCATTATGCCGTTGGATCAATTGTTACCTTGGTTGCGATTATGATCGCATTTGTTTTCGCATTGAAATGTTTTACATAGTTTCAATATATGGTTTAATTAATTAGATGCTCTGGAGAGCTATATGTTGTTAGATGAGAACTATGTATGCACTTTGGTTTTAATGTGATGATGAACTTCTATTAATTTGGACACTTAATTATATATAATGCACGCAGATGAACCGACAATGGATGTATGGTGACAGACACACCCGCGAGTACATTAAGGGCGTGCATGAGTTTCTCGATGCGGCTGAGGCAAACAAGCAGAATGGTTTTATGTGTTGTCCATGCACTGAATGTGGGAATACGAGGTCTTACTCTAACCGGAAAATCCTTCACTCCCACCTGCTTTACAAGGGTTTCATGCCACACTATAATGTTTGGACGAGGCACGGAGAAATAGGGATTATGATGGAAGACGGCGAAGAAGAAGACTACGATGACAACTATGTGCCCCCTAAATACGGTGATGCTGCAACGGGGGGAGCTGGTGAAGATCAAGAGGAACCAGACGATGTGCCCAATGATGCTGCAACGGGTGAAGCTGCTGAAGATCAAGAGGAACCAGACGATGTGCCCGATGATGATGATCTCCGCCGGGTCATTGTCGATGCAAGGACGCAATGCATTAGTCAAAAGGAGAAGCTGAAGTTCGATCGCATGTTAGAGGATCACAAAAAAGGGTTATACCCCAATTGCGAAGATGGCAACACAAAGCTCGGTACCGTACTGGAATTGCTGCAGTGGAAGGCAAAGAATGCTGTGGCTGACAAAGGATTTGAGAAGCTACTGAAAATATTGAAGAAGAAGCTTCCAAAGGATAACGAATTGCCCGACAGTACATACGCAGCAAAGAAGGTTGTATGCCCTCTAGGATTGGAGGTGGAGAAGATACATGCATGCCCTAATGACTGCATCCTCTACCGCGGTGCATACAAGGATCTGAACGCATGCCCGGTATGCGGTGCATTGCGGTTATAAGATTAGACGAGATGACCCTGGTGATGTTGACGGAGAGCCCCCTAGGAAGAGGGTTCCTGCGAAGGTGATGTGGTATGCTCCGATAATACCACGGTTGAAACGTCTGTTCAAAAACGAAGAGCATGCCAAGTTGATGCGATGGCACAGTGAGAACCGAAAGAAAGATGGGAAGTTGAGAGCACCCGCTGACGGGTCGCAGTGGAGAAAAATCGAGAGAAAGTATTGGGATGAGTTTGCAAAGGACCAAATGAATGTATGGTTTGCTTTAAGCGCGGATGGCACTAATCCTTTCGGGGAGCAGAGCAGCAATCACAGCACCTGGCCCGTGACTCTATGTATGTATAGCCTTCCTCCTTGGATGTGCATGAAGCGGAAGTTCATTATGATGCCAGTTCTCATCCAAGGCCCTAAGCAACCCGACAACGAAATTGATGTGTACCAAAGGCCATTGGTTGAAGAATTTTTACAGCTGTGGAATGAAAACGGTGTACGTACATGGGATGAGCACAGACAGGAGGAATTTAACCTTAAGGCGTTGCTGTTCGTGACCATCAACGATTGGCCCGCTCTTAGTAACCTTTCAGGACAGACAAACAAAGGATACCACGCATACACGCGCTGTTTAGATGACACTGAAAGTATATACCTGGACAAATGCAGGAAGAATGTGTACCTGGACCATCGTCGATTTCTTCCGACCAACCATCAATGTCGAAAGAAAGGCAAGCATTTCAAAGGCGAGGCAGATCACCGGAAGAAGCCCGCCATGCGCACCGGTGATCACGTGCTTGCTATGGTCAATTATTTACACTACGTAATCTTTGGAAAGGGTCCCGGTGGACTAGCTGTTCCGAATGACGCTGAGGGAACGCACCCATGTGGAAGAAGAAATCTATATTTTGGGACCTACCCTACTGGAAAGACCTAGAGGTCCGCTCCTCAATCGACGTGATGCACGTGACGAAGAACCTTTGCGCGAACCTGCTAGGCTTCTTGGGCGTGTATGGGAAGACAAAAGATACACCTGAGGCACGGGAGGACCTGCAACGTTTGCACGAAAAAGACGGCATGCCTCCGAAGCAGTATAAAGGTCCTGCCAGCTACGCTCTTACGAAAGAAGAGAAAGAAATCTTCTTTGAATACCTGCTCAGTATGAAGGTCACGACTGGCTTCTCATCGAATATAAAGGGAATAATAAATATGCCAGAGAAAAAGTTTCAGAACCTAAAGTCTCATGACTGCCACGTGATTATGACGCAACTGCTTCCGGTTGCATTGAGGGGGCTTCTACCGGAAAACGTCCGATTAGCCATTGTGAAGCTATGTGCATTCATCAATGCAATCTCTCAGAAGGTGATCGATCCAGAAATCGTACCAAGGCTAAGGAGTGATGTGGCGCAATGTCTTGTCAGTTTCGAGCTGGTGTTCCCACCATCCTTCTTC